AGGTATCGAGGCAGGAAGACGGAACCCTCCAGACTGGTGTCTTTCGAAAGGCAACATACACGGAAAAAATGCTACGCTACAACAGCAACCATCCCTTGTCGCATAAGCGCAGTTGTGTCTGGACATTTTTTCACCGCATCCACACACACTGCAGCACAGAAGCCGAGAAGCTGCGGGAGCGTAAAACCCTATGGCACCTCTTCCTTGCCAATGGATATCCACGCATTTTCGTAAACAAATGCTTGTACTAAAGGCACACGAAGACCGACGGTGAGAAGAAACAAAGGCCAGAAATCTTCCGCGTCTTGTCCTACGTGAGTAACGTCTCCGAAGCCACTGAGCGCATGCTAAGACCGCTAAGCGTAGGCGTTGGACACCGACCGGAGGCCACCATCCGCCGCTAAATCATGCAGCCCAAGGACCGGCTACCACCTGCAGACACGTCAGGCGTCATTTACCGCACAAGATGTCTGGACTCTCTAGCCAACTACTGCGGCATGACCGACAAACGCCTATGAACGCGTATGCATGAGCACACTTTGGCCGTAAAGCGAAATGATGTACGTTCGCATGACGCCATGCACTGTCCGGAAAATAATCACACGTTCGACTTTGACGGCGCCCAAGTGCTCGGCAAGTAATCGAGGGAAGTAATCGAGGCATGGAAATCAGACACCAACTCGACCAACCGTAGTATCAATTTATCAGCGCCATACGAGGCCGTCAGGCAACTTTTACGCGCGAGAGGAGGGCCAATCAGAAAAGAAGGGGATGAACCTATCGGATGCGAGCGCAGATGGCCTATTTAAACCCTGTATTTCTCACTTAGTCCATCTCGGATGATGTGCTCGATCATGAACACGAAACGTCAGATGAATAAACCTTCTTCCCCAGAGATCGCCTCATCTTCTCCCATATTAACACCTGGGGTCAGGATTTTTTTCTATATCCACATATGTATGTATGTATAGGGGTGTAGTGGTGTCCAGCGGCTGGTTCACGTGATGGTCGTAGTAGGTCGCTCACTTGCTTGCAGGTGCAGACTACGCCTAGCGTCCATCTGCTGGCACCCAACTCTCACATGTGGTTCCCCGAGGCTAGGCTCCGCCTAGCGACCACACCCCGGTAACCGTCTCGACCGGCGGACTTAACCAGGTGAGGGTATTGTGGATTCCGCAGGGCGTTTGTTCGAATGGAACTCCGCATCGGCACCCTCGAGACGAAGCCCCGCCCGGTATGTCGTTGGTCGGCTGATCGGATGGTACTTCGCATCGGTATCGTCGAGATGAGGCTCCGTCTGGTACACCGCAGGGGGCCACTTACCAAGTGAACCCACAGGTCCCAGGCTAATTCGAGTCGTTCTCTCACTGACGCAAAGTCGCGGCTGATAGTGGACTTCGGCAGAAGTCTGGGATGGCCGAACAGCCCTATTTAGGGGTGTACTGCTCGCCACACAACGGGAAGAAGCTAGAAAAAGTGCCCTACAAATCGTTGGTAACCACGTTGTCTGTAGGCTGGCCGTTGTTGCAGACAAAAAACATACGATCGAAACAATCAAAATCGCAAAAACAACAACAATACTCTCTCTCTTCCTCCTTCTGCCTATTGTACTTCTTCTTCTTCTCCTTTTTTTCTCTTACTCCTTATTCTCCCAGCCGCCGCCTTAATCGCCTGACCGGCAGGGTGAGTCCACTAACTCCGGCGGCCCGGAATGTTCGTTCCCTTTAAGACAATCCGAGGAACAACAGACCAGAACGGAGGACGGCGTTATTGGCTCATGAACTGGCTCGCTACAAGGTGGACATCGCCGCACTCAGTGAGACCCCATTCTCTCAACAAGGCCAACTGGAGGAGGTGGGTGCCGGCTACCCCTTCTTCTGGAGCGGTCGCCCCAGGGCAGAGCGACGGGACGCAGGTGTCCGCTTCGCCATCCGGAACAATATCGTGGGACGACTGCCCTGTCTGCCGCAGGGCACCAACGATCGCCTGATGAGCCTCCGCCTGCCTCTCTGGGGAGGCAAATTCGCCACCATCATCAGCGCCCATGTTCCCACGATAACCAACCCTGACGCTGCAAGGGACAAATTTTACGAGGGCCGGCATGCCTTTCTGGCGTCTGTGTCGAAGGTGGATAAGCTGATTGTCCTCGGTGACTTCAACGCCCGCGCCGGCACGGACCATGCTGCCTGGAGAGGAGCGCCAGGTACCCATGGTCCAACGGTTCCAACGACAATGGCCTGCTTCCTCTCCGCACCTGCGCAGAACACCGCCCCATCCTGACGAACACGCTCTTCTGCCTGCCAGAGAGAGAGAAAGAAGGCCACTTGGATGCGTCCTCGATCGCGTCAGGGGCACCTGCCGGACTATGTCCTAGTCCCGAAGCGAGACCTGCGGGACGTGCTGGTGACAAAGACGATTCCGGATGCTGACGGGTGGACCGACTATCGTCCCGTCATCTCGAAGGTGCGGATTCGCCTACAACCTCGCAGGAGACCTCAAGCTAATCGACTCCCAGGTAAGCTGAATATTGCCTTTCTGTTTTTGCCTGCTCACCATCTTCATTTCAGCAATGAGCTAGGTCGATGGCTAGGCAACCTTTTAGTTGTTGCAGTTGCCGCCGCCTCCGCCGCTGACGAGAACGCCTCCATGGAGAACCGGTGGTGTCAACTGCGGGACACGGTCAAGTCGACGGCCCTAGTCG